GGGCGCTTCTTCTCCTTCTCACTCGGCTCCCCGGCAGCGCCGGCCTGCGCGGCCTTGAGCGCCTGGCGCTCGGCCGCCAGCCGCGCCCGCTCCACGTCGAGCTCCAGCTCCATCTTGTACTCCCACTCCTCGAGCGCGTGCGGGGAGACGTAGTCGAGCACGTCCATGGCCGGCACGAGCAGCCGCGCGGCGGGCAGGTCCCACCACCCGACAATGTACTTCATGCGCTTGGGCAGCGGCCGGCCGTCGGCGGCCGCGAGCCCCGCGGGCGGCAGCAGGATGCGGTCGTCAATGTACGCCGTCGAGTCTGCGGGCGGCTGGAGAAAGGGCAGCCGCAGAAGCGGGCCCGAGTTGGGGACGTAGTCGGCCGGCCGCGAGGGCAGCTCGATGATGATTCGGCGCTTGGGCGGCCGCGGGCGAGGCGGACGCGAAGAAGCCATGGGTGGGTTGCTCGTGTTGGCGGCCTGGTAGCGGTGCGTACTCGACAAGACTTGGACATGTCGTGGTCAGCATGACCGGAAATGCTTGCTTCGGTTGAGAGTGATTTTTTTTTCCCGCGTTTTCCAGGTTGTCGGGTGCAAGGTCAAATTGGGCGGGGGGATGGCACGCGTGGAGCTGGAGCTGATAGGCGCAACCCGTCACCTTAAAAAAATCAAATTGGGCAGTAACTTGGTGGAGAGAGCTGGAGCTGGCACGAGTCCACCGCCTCTGGCTAGCTCCAATCGCTCCAATCTCCTCCAACCATCCATCACCAACTTCAACCATTTCGCCTTCCAGCGCCGCCCAATCCCGTTGCAACGTGTATCGCACTCCAATCGACCCGAAATTCCCTCAACTGCACAGCGCCCACGAAGCTGTGCCCGACCAAGATGGCTGCACCGATGAAGACGATGGTGCTCCGCGGCTGCGCCTCCTCCTCGTCCGTGGTGCGGTCGTGCTCCCGAGCGACCTTTTCAACGCTCCCCGCCCGTCCGATGCCTCTTTCTTCAATGCTCCCCCTCGCTGCCCGGGCCACCAGCATTGCCTCGACCGCCCGCTTCTTCTCTCGAACGCCCCTCCAGCACAACGCCGCCGCCGCCGCCGCCCCGTCCACCGCGGCACTTGACTGGAACTCGTTTTTCCAGCTGCGCGTCAAGCGCCGCCGCATCCAAATGGTCTTTTCGCTCGCATCAGGAGTGCTCGGTGGCGGCGCCGGTGCCGTGGCGCTGTCGAGCGGCGCTGCGGACAGCCTGATTGGCATGGTGCCGCTCGACCCCTTTGTCACGCTCGGCATCGCCACGCTGTGCGCTGGTGGTCTCGGCTGGCTTATTGGGCCCATCCTCGGCAGTCAGGTGTTTTACCTGCTGAACCGCCGGTACAAGACGCAGATGCTGCAAAAGGAGAGTGAATTCTTGACGCGTGTCAAGAAGCACCGCAGCGATCCGACGCAGTCGAGCACCAGCAACCCAGGTTTGTGCAGCTATCTTTGGAAGATAATTTTGTATTTATACTGACGGACTTTAGTTCCCGACTACTATGGCGAAAAGATTTCGAGCGTTGCTGGCTACCGTCGCTGGCTCAAGGACCAACGCGCCTTTAACCGCAAGAAGAATGCCAACTTTGTATAAATGGATATCGAGGAATATGGAAACTGTGAAAAGGAAATCAAAGACTCATCAACAGGAATGAGGCAAGGGCAATCTGGGAAGGCCTGTGTAACAAATTTGCGTGGAATCAACGTCTGCATATCCGTACAACTCCTCTTGTCTGAAGGACGATTTTTATTATATTAGCAATCTGCCATCTCTGCTTTTTTCTCCATCTGCACACTATACAAACGGCAACGTAGGGTCCACGTCCTTGCGCCAGGCGCGCAAGCCGCCGTCAATATCGCCCACGAACCGCTCCCCCTCGCGGTCCAGCCCCAGCTCCTTGAGCTTCTGTGCGGCCACCTGCGAGTCGTTACCCACACGACACACGACATAAATAGGCGCCGAGTGCGGCAAGTCCGCCGGCATCCAGTCGGGCGCGGCCTCTGGGGCGTCCGCCGGCGCGGGCCGCATAAACTGCCGAATAGGCACGTTGACGGACCCGGGGATGCTCGAGAGGTCAAAGTGCTCCTTGTCGCGAACGTCGATGAGCAGATGCGGGGACGCGGCGCGGTTGGCGGCGATGCGGGCGTACTCGGCGGCGGCGATGCGCTCGGCCGGGCCCAGCAGGCGGACCGGCTGGGCGACGCCGCAAAACTGGACGTAATCGAGCGACGACTGCATCTGGGCGAGGGTGAGGGCGCCCTCTGTGGCGGAGCAGGCGACGCAGTCATCGCGCCTGCCGCGAATGCGCACGGTGCGGAACATGGTGTCGGCCATGCTGCTGAAGAGGAGCATGGTGGCGGGGGGCGGCGGCGGGGGGGCGGCGGTCGGGGT